GAAGTACGAACGATTTGCTCTTTATCCTCCAGAGATCTTCGAGAAATATATTCAGGTAATCATCTGCTTCCTTAAATAATGGAACCCCATTTGTTCTCATCATATTGATTTCTGGCGGAATTATGATGAATCCAATACCCTGTAAGAACTTGAATTCACACCTTTTTCTTATCAAATCTCCTGAGAACAGATGATTGGCATCAACCAAGGAGAACACATCATTCTTTACTCTCGTGGCGCTATCGGAGGGATGATGTTCAGCTCTAAGGTTGCTTGGTTGCTCAAAGTGAGTACTTCGTGAAATTACTGTTTTTGCTCCTAGCACTTTTCTCTTATATGGTAGTCCTATGGTCATAGTTCCGATAAAATCTCACTCCTCAACGGAGGTCTCGAACAGTGGGTGAGACAAGGAAATGAACTTAGCAAGGAAGAAGTGAAGTTACCGGTACGATTCCCTACGAAATTTCTAGACATGATGTAGTTTTTGGTAGTTCTAGATTGGAAACTGGAAAGCTAGCGATTACCTGGCTAAATATAACATTAAATTTGAAGATATGGAGTATAAGGATGGAGACAAGGCATATCTGGAGCGGACGGATGAAGTAAAATAGTTCTAAGTTTGACAAACTTCTTTTAAAGAGAATATTGGAGACAGTTTAATTTAAACACTGCAGAATTTAATCTCTACTCGAAGTTCATATTTATCAATCTGCCTCTGCCAAAGCAACTTGATCCTGTTCAAATTAACCCAAGCATTCTCTAACGTTTTGTTTCTATCTGACACAACATGTAATTTTACCCACCTAAAGTTCCAAATGATATGTTTTAGATTAACTTTTTGGATGCACGTGTTCGTGAGCAGTTTGAGGGTATGGAAGAAACTGGATTGGATCCTTATCGTATAATCTACCTTTGACTTTTGATCTTCAAATTGCTAGACTTTTTCTCCATGTACACTTTCTTTAGGAGTTAAAGGGAGCAACATACCTGGGTTCAAGAACACACCAGTTGTAGACTTAGTTCATGAAAATGGAGAGCTGAAAACATTTGAGGAGATTCGTCAATGTTCGTTGCTCGTTTTGAAAATGAAAGAAGAAGAGGAGGAATCTCTTTTGTATGACTACATTTTTAGGGTTTGCTGAAAATGGCTATAAGCCAAATCATCCAGTTGTGACTATCTGTAATACAGGAATGCAAGCGGCTATGTTAGCACAAATCATGGAAATTGTTCTTCCCGAAACATCTCCACGAGTGTATAACGTAAGCAGTGAATTCCGAGGTTCTTCACTTTGTTTTTTTAAATAATATCTTTTGCTGCCAGGGCTCAATGAAAGAGATGGAACTACGCGATCCAAAGAGAATCTCTGGAGGAAAAGCTTATTAAAATGTGCTGCCATTTTTTTCAGGATGAAGACCATTAGTTGTGTTAATACATTATTATG